CTTCTCCTTCTTCCTCTTCTTCTATTCCAACTTCTCCTTCTTCCTCTTCTTCTTTTCCTAATTCTTCTATCCCTACTGCTCCTTCTTCCTTCTCTTTTATTCCTACTTCTTCTTCTCTCTCTCCTTCTATTCCTATTTCTCCTTCTTCCTCTTCTTCTATTCCAACTTCTCCTTCTTCCTCTTCTTTTATTGCTACTTCTCCTTCTCTCTCTTCTTCTATTCCGACTCCTTCTTCTCCCTCTTCTATTCCTACTTCTTCTTCTTCCTCTTCTTCTTTTCCTACTTCTTCTATTCCTACTTCTCCTTCTGTCCTTTATACTTTTTCCTCTTTCTTCTTCTTTTCTTACTTCTCTTATTCATACTTCTTACTCTCCTTCTCTCTGTTCTTATTCTCATCCTTCTTATCCTTCTTCTCTTTCTTCTTTGTCTCCTTTTCCTTCCTCTCCTTCTCTTATTTGCATATTGTGGAGCCCTGCATGTCTGGAACACCTGGTGCCGGTCCCAGTCCCGGTCCCAGTTCTGGCATTTCGGTCCGCTGAAATGACTGGCCATTTGTAACTCGAGCACCGCGACCGGCGTGCATTGTGCAAATGTGCGCATGCGGCCCCTCCTTCTGGCCACTCGGCAGTTTACGCCACAACCCTCGTAGGGCATATCGGCCTTCTGCTCCGCGCGCATATCTGTGTGCAATTCTGTGTGTGTGTGTGTGTGTGTGTGTGTGTGAACAACACCGTCTTGTTCCGCACTTCTAGCCTTGCCTTATGCTAATTCATCGCTTCTCCGAACGACCTGGTTTCCGCTTCTGGCCCCGCCTAGCCAACCGGCTAGCCCACCTTTGCTCGCTCTCACTCTCAATCTTACTCTCACTCTCTCTCTCACTCTCACTCTCATTCTCGCTTTTTCCAGCTTTCATGCCCTCGAGCCCTCGGCTCCACTTATCACTTTGTCATTCTGCCGCTCTTTCACTCCTTCACTCTTTCCTTCTTTGTTCCTTTCCTTCGCTCTCTCGCTCTGTCGCTATTTCGCGCTCTCTCTCCCTCTTGTGGCGCTACACGTGGTGGTCGAGCCGGTGGCCCCTCGTCAGCGAGTTCCACTCCCGTCCGGCAGGATTGGCTGAGCCCGGCTGACAGGCTGGCTACTCGAATCAATCACCACCGGCCATTTTGTCTCGGGTCCACGCGACGCGGGCGCCGGGCTCGCGAGAACGTGGGTCTGGCTGGGTCCCTTCGGCCAACTCTGTAATGCTACGGGCAACGCGAGTCAAAAGGATCAATATCGGCTAACCGACCAATCCGGCGGTGGGTGGCCAGTGTTTTGTGCTCCTCTCTCACGCCTCTGATTGGTCCCTCAGGCGTGTGTAGTAGTGCTCACCCCTGCCGAGCCTCCTCTTCCGACACCCACCCACCCACCCAC